ATGCCATTTTGGGCCTCGTGCCAAAGCTGTTCGGAACTTTAGGGACCTTTTCTTATTATCCTCTCATTGTTTTGATTTAAGAGCTATACTCAGTCATGCTGTGTTTACTGATTTCATAACTCAGTCTTTATTACGCCGTTTTGATGCATAAAATATTATTTTAGGCTGAGCACCCTATTTGTTTTTACTGATAGCCCGAGTGGCTTGAGAGGTTTATGACTGAGGGAGACCGAGTGCCTGTTTTTGTGAGGATATTATGGGATCGGGCTGCATGCCGCAACATGTTGTTACTAATTCATGATTATGTGAGGCTAATGGCCTGCTTGATTTATGCCACGAGGTGGCTTGTTATAGCGCTTGGGCTGTAGGAGCCCCTCTGGAGTCTGCACACCCCCAGTGAGCGCGGGTACCCTGAGTGAGTGATATGATATATGTCCAAGGGGCTGTATACGAGTGACTGTGAGGTCTGCCCGAGGGGCTGATTCTGGGTGATGTTATGCTCGAGGGGTTGTTTATGATTCATGTTGTCCGAGGGGCTGTATACGAGCGATGTTTGCCCGATGGGCTGTTTATGATTTTCATCACTTTTACTCTCTTTTTCATTGAGCCTCTCTTGAAACTGTTGAAAATATATTCAAATGATTTTTACCTAAAACTGGACTTTTAAACGAGAGGATTTGACTCACACTCTGATTTGAAAGCATGTTGTACTTACTGAGATTCATGATGTGGACTCTATGTGTTTTCTACTGCTCAGTCTTTATTTATTTTTATTACTTACTGAGTTGGCGTACTCACATTACTCCATGCACCTTGTGTGCAGATCTAGGGGTTGCTGGACGTGCTAGTGAGCGTTGATTTCATCCGTCGCGGATCTGCTGGAGTTGGCAAGGTAGCTGTGATAACTGTGATTTTGACACGTTTTATGCCCATACTTGCCTATGCTTTATGTATGATTTGCCATAAAATATACTCAGAATGCTTATAAGTTGCGCTTGATCGCAGGTTTGAGCAACAAGGTGACGAAAGTCAAGAATCGGCTCGAAACAGAATGAAACCTGCTCAAGTGTCAAAGATCATGAAAGCATTGATATTCAGAACTTGGTGCGGACCGCACCATCATGTCATGCGGCCGCACCACTAAAGTTTAGAGATTGGCATTCTCAGCTCCAACCAATGCGGCCGCGCTGCAAGTTCACGCGGTCCGCACCACTGAAGTTCAGAGAGTTGGTATTCTCTGTCCTAGCTCATGCGGCCGCACTACAAGTTCACGCGGTCCGCACCTCAAAAGTTTAGAGACCATCACAAGCCACTCATGCGGCCGCACTACAAGTTCACGCGGTCCGCGCCAGTCATCATGCGGCCGCACTTCATCATTGTGCGGTCCGCGTCAGCATCTTCAGAAAGCAAGTCTCAGAAGTAAAGCAACCCAGTGCGGCCGCGTGTCATCATCGTGCGGACCGCACAGACCCCGCAGGGGTATTTTTGTCCGGTTTTTCTTAACTTAGTATAAATAGAATATTTGCCATTTTTTAGGGAACGGATTAGATACAGAACAGCTGCTGCACTCGTGAGACAAAAGTGTTAGCCTATTTTAGGCATTTTTCATCTTGTTTAACGTGGATTATTGTAGATTTACCTTCTAGCTAATTAATATGTTCATTTTATCTATTTCTCCTTCAATTTCTGTTGTTATTATGGCTAGCTAAACCCATAAGTTAGGGTTGTGGCTCAACCCTAGTATGGGTAATTAATGGGTATGATTGTTTAATGCTTGAATGATGTTGGGTGTATGATATTTGGGTTATTTTTATGTTTTCACTTGGATTTGGTGGTTGCAAACACTAAGTCTAGCTTTGTGAGTTTTGACCCTTCTTGAGAAAGAGTGTCTAAGACTCTAAAATTAACCCAACAAGGAATTGATGGACCTATGAGAATAGTAGTCCCAATTAACGGGTAAAACCTCGAGAGAGCAATTATCCAACTTGAACCCTAAGTTGCTTGGTTTGTTAGCCTACCCGATTGGTCTCGAGAGAGCCAATTGGGCAAAATCATTCTCTCTACCGAGAGGTGTGAGAGTGAGTGCTATCGTGTAACGGTTATATCATAAGCCCCATAATCATCATTCTCATATTAGGAATCTCTACCCGTTAGTTGACCACCTAGGTAAATGCCACGACCCTAGTGCCGTTTTCTATCTTGCATACAACCGAGACTTGATATCTTAGCATAATTTAGTTATAATTAGTAGTTGTTAAATTGTAGTTGATAATCACAAAGAAAAACCCAAAAATGATAGAAGATCAATTAGAAGCAAACTCGCATTTCTAGGCTAAACAAATATCCAACTCCCTTTCTAGCTCCCTGTGGAAATTGACCCCGATACCTCTATTGGGTAAAAGTATTAGCGCCCACTCTTCCTAAGGTTGAGTCTGCTGCGACCTAATCAAGCTGCATGGTGATCGCTGCCATGCTCTTCTCCCTCCTATCTTCCTATAGATGTTATTGTTTGTTTTCCAGATTGTATTAGTCTTAGTATTATTGGTCAGTACTTAGTAGATTCTCATGACTAGTGACACCCCGATGTGGGGCTTTCTTTCCGCACTTTTGTTTTAATTCAAACTCTTTATGAAGGTTTATTGTTAAATAGCTTTGGTTTTATCTTAAAAATGAAAATATCACCTTGTTTTGGTAATGTATCGGCTTGCCTAGTACCACGATAGGCGTCATCACGACAGGGTTGATTTTTGGGTCGTGACAATAAATTAGTAAAAACCTTGGTCAAACTAAAACTGCTTATAAGCTGAAAGGCCATAAGTTGGGGGTGACTAAGAGCCTGTTTGGATGGGCTTAAAAGTTGGTCAAATCAGCTTTTAAGCACTTTTTCACTTGTAAAGTGTTCAGCAACCAAAAAAAAGACTTAAAAAAAGTTAAAACTTGCTTTTAAAAAAGCCAAAACCAACAAGTTGGGTAATTCCAACTTTTTCGAAATTGGCTTAAAAGCCATATTTCTTTGACCAAGGATATTAAATTCTTATCCCTTATAATTTTTCTTAATCCCGAAATTAACCCCGGTAGAAAACCCTAAAACATACTCTCTTCTTCTTTTCTCCATTCTTGTTGCAACCTCTACTTTCTTCTTCCTCTTCTTCCATAACTTTCCTAACTTCAGCTCCAATTTTGAAAGCTCTTCAGTCCACGTAAGTTTAAGTAGTGAAGCAAGTTCAAATGTGTTTTTATGAGTTGATTTTCTGCCAATGCACTACACTGAGACACCAACTGGAGAAAAGGGATAGACTGGAGAGTTTCTTCACATTGGTACATGGTTCTTTTCCTTCTTCTCCCTCCACTGTTCCCATTTTTGCCAACCATTTCTAATGCCATTACCATGGCATATCCCATTTATACGTTGCATTTCTTTTACATGGCCAGACAAACAATGTCATAATTGATTGTCTTGTACAAAGACTAAAATACAAAAATATTGGAAAAGTTGAAACAATATATAGCACTAAATATAGTAACTTCAAATAAAATTCATCTAAACATAAATTAATTTTTCCAATTTTTTTGAAGGAAATTCTCAAAAAATAACATACTTTAGTGTTAACAACTTTAAGGATATTTCAGTCATTTTAACAGAATAAGTGCTTATTAGCACTTATTTATCAAACACTTCAACAACTTTTTTTCAGCTTAAGCATTTTTATCCAAACACGTAACTGCTTATTTATAAAACAAGTTCTAGCACTTAAAAAGTGCTTTTAAGCACCGTGCTTAAAAGTTATTTTTTTAAGCCAATCCAAAAGGGCTCTAACTTATGACTTATGACTGAACTTAAATTTAAACATTGTCTTATAAAAGTTGGTTTTTGGAATTCGACATCAGGAAGTGTTTTCACACCATCGACCGACATCGACTCATCCCAATCTTTAAGGAGGAGATCGACGATCCCAAGTTCTTAAACCCCATTCAGAAAGTCTTTTCCGTCGGACGACTCGTAGGAGGTGAGAAGGGCCCTTATTCCATCCCACATAGTGTATTACTATCAGCCCTACCAGGCAACACCTACCTACACAAGCTCGATCAGGAGATAGAGAGGATCCGACAGAAGTACGAAATTCCGATTGTTCAGAGAATAAGATCGGTTCTATTAAGCACAGGTCGTATTGATGACCAAGAAAACGTATAGATAAATCAAAAAATACTTATAAGCCAGTTTGACCAGCGTATAAGCTTACAACTTGTTTGGATGGTTGTTCCCGGTTGTATCGTATTGTATTGTTATCCCAAAACAATGTTTGTTTTGATTGTTTCATTAAAGTTGGTTGTATTGTATTGTTAAATTCATTGTTCCGGAACAATGAAAAGTCTCCTTTTTTGAAACGACCGATTTGGTGTGGTGGGATTGTTTCCTATTTTTCTTTCCAATTATGTCCTAATTTATTACTCCACAATTCTATTTTATCCTTTATCTTTTTTTTTTTAATTTTAACTCCACATCTCCAACCTATAACCTACTTTGTTTTTTTCCAAAACTTCTGCCGCCAACGTTAAAGGTGTTTGCCGCATTCTATTTCATTTTTTCTCCTAATTTGCTTTTAACTCGATTCTAACTAGATGTGCTCCTTTATTTTGCCTTCTTCTGTCTCGCTTCTTTATTTTGCTTTCTTAAGGTGTTTTGCCTTCTCGTGTTTTAAATTATTTTTTATGCATAATATTTGATAAATTTAATATTTAAATAATTGAGGGTATTTTAATAAACTTATCAATTACACTACATACGATACAGTCAAACTAAATAACAAAATATTATTTAACAATAAAAAATAATACAATCTATCCAAATATTGTATTCATAGAACGATACGATATGATACAATACAATACATTATAAACGATGGGGAACAATGATCCAAACATAGTGTTAGCCAAACATCCCATACATTTGGATTGTGTCTTAAGTAGGTCCCTCGAGCACTATTTGTGCATTTCCCTAGGTTGACGGCAGTCTTGGTAGCCAGCATCAACGCATTACATGACCAAGCCCAAATCAAACCCGTTCAGTTGGAACACTCGGGTCCCGGAATTTCACCAAAACCCTAAACCCTAGAATCTGGAATCCAAACCAATTTCTATTCCACAATTACACCAAAACCCTAAACCCAGGTATGCAACTCGCAAATCGGCTTGTCTATTTACTCGGAAGCTCAAATCGGAAACCCGATGAATTTAGGGGTTTCACGCAATTCACAGCATCAATCTCAAGCCTTAAAGTAGCATGGCGCAAGGACTCAAAGCTAGACCAAGCAATCGAAAACGACAAAAAATGGAAGCATTGTGCAAGAGTTGTTAAAGAAGTGCTAAACGAACCGGGTCAGGTAATTCCTCTTCACTATTTGGAGAAACGACGCGAAAGATTGCGGTTGCCCGTAAAAATCAAAACTTTTCTTTATTTGAACCCCGGGTTATTCGATACTTACATGGATCGGGTCAGGCCTAAATCCGATCCGGTCACGTTCATTCGGGCAAGCGATAGATTAAGGCAATTCTTGGAAGAGGAGAGTAGGATTTATGTAAAAAATGAAAACTTTTTGGTTTCTAAGTTATGCAAACTTCTAATGATGTCTAAGGATAATGTTGTAAGTGCAGATAAATTAGTACAGGTGAAGAGGGAATTCGGGTTCCCGAATGATTTTTTGGTAAATTTGGTGCCAAAATATCCGGAATATTTTAACTTAATTGGTGAACCTGGGGAGGGAAAATCATTTTTACAATTGGTTACATGGAACCCGGAGTTTGCGAAGTCGGTGATTGAGCTAAGAGCTGAGGAAGAATCAAGGTTAACAGGGATCAGAACTAGGCCAGCATTTAACTGGAAACTTCCTCCGGGCTTTTTCATTAGGAAGGAAGTGAGAGAGTGGATTCGAGATTGGATGGAGCTTCCTTATATATCACCCTACAATGATGCATCACATTTGGATCAATCTTCACGAGAGATGGAGAAGAGGACTGTGGGGGTTTTCCACGAGTTGCTATCGCTTTCTATTTATAAGAGGGTTCCTATCGACATTTTGGGGAAGTTTAGTGACGAATATAGGTTCTCAAACGCATTCTCAAATGTTTTTACTAGGCATTCGGGGATATTTTATATGTCGTTGAAGTGTGGGATTAAAACTGCAATGCTTAGGGAAGCATACAAGGATAGTGAGCTGATTGATCTAGACCCACTTCTTGAGATTAAAGACAAATTTCTCGAGTTACTTGCTGAGGGCCACAAGCAGAAAGCTGAGCGATTGAGATTGCAAAGAGAGATGGTTCAGAAGGACATGAAAATGATGGCAGTTAGCAATAATGGACTAGACTATCATAAATACGAGGAGGAGCTTCTGGACGAGGAGGAAGATGCCGAGCTGTCAACACTAACATCATCTTGAAAGTGAAGTTGGGTGTAAATACAAAATGGCTAGTGATGTTAGAACAAAGGAGTCTTCATTTCCTGGATCTCAGTGAGGGAATATTCATTTTGAAGATGCTACATTTCAGAGAGGATTTCTTCTGACAAAAGAACCAAAAGATGCTGTTCATATGATTCAGTTGTTTGTACCAACTCGTTCGTTTTCTCTGCAAACTTCTACTTCCCTCATAGCAAGGGTTACGTCACTTTGGGTTTCAGCACATGCTTCTGCAAATTCTTGTTTTCTTTGTGACTTTGACTAGCAAAACAGAGAGTTGAGAGTTCCGGGTAGTTATTCACTGCTCATTGCAACTTGCAAATTAGCAGAGCACTTATGCTTTTAGTAGACACTGTTTTTGCAAAGCAGCTGTGTCTTTTCAAAAATTTTGGGACAAAGATATTATTGTTGAGAAACCCAGCTTCACAAATATGGATGGACATTCTTAGTTTAAAATTAATTGCTTCATATGAGAATTTAATTTCAACCTGAATATCTCCTTTTCTTTTTCTTTCTGAAAAGGAGTTCAAGCTGACAATCTATTCTCGACATATTTTGAGACCAACAGAGTCTTAATTTTATAAACCTTCTTGGCATGCATCTCTCTCTTTCCCCACACTCCCATACCCTGATGTCTCTTGTTTCTACTCTTCTTTGTTCCCCTTCCATTATCTAAGGGCTGTAAGAGTTGCTGATATGATGGTTTTGAATGAAATGATGAGAACTTAACCATCTTTCTTCTTATGCCCTATAACGGAGGATAATCCTGCCTTATCCGTTGGTTACATTTTATTCCTTCTTCTTATTGTTAAGGTATCCTCCATTTACTATTAAGCCAATAATCATTTCAGGACTTCCTGATTTTAGCAAGTTTCGTTCCTGGTGCCTATAAAGCTTCATTAAATGACAAATCTTATCCACCAAAATATGGCAGATGAAGTTTGATATGAGTCCTATGTACAACAACAATTACGCCTCAGTTCCTAACAAAGTTGGGGTCGGCAATATGGATCCTCACTTTTCTTTTTAAGCTCAACTCATATCATCGTCATTGCCAAAATAACATAAAGTAGTGAAAATAAGTTAAATATTATATAGATAAAGTAACAATAATAATAATAATAATAATAATAATAATAATAATAATAATAATAATAATAATAAAAGTTCTCTAACAAATTTTAACCCTAATCCTAGGTAGTAAGTATCACATATATGGATCCTTTTCTTCTATTGTGCCCTATCTTTAGCTAAGTATGCATTGGTTCAAAGGATTAGTAGATCTTTCGAGACAACTTCCTTTCATGTGATTTTAGGTCTACCTCGTCCCTCAGCATTTGTTACTTTCATGTGGTTCGTCATGCATGGTTCAGTGAATAGTTGCAAACAGTTGAGAGCACCTATGAAACCTACGATATAGCTCCTGAACTAAGATTTCATGTCTCCGCATCTTAAAAGAATGGTCCAATGCCAATCGCTCAAGGGATTGCTTTCTATGCGTAAAACACCCTGAAAGAAATAAACTGACAACAACAACAACAAACTCAGTGTATTTCCACAAGTGGGGTTTGGGGAGGGTAGTTAGTACGCAGCCTTACCCCTACCTTATGCAAGTAGAGAGGTTGTTTCCGATCGACCCTTGGCTCAAGACCCTGAAAGCAACAAACTATCCCCCAAAAAGGATAATGACTGACAAGAAGGGTCACCAGCAGGATGAATTCCAGTGGAAAGGAGGCAATATCCAGCTTGTAGCCAGAGATTTGATTTGGTCTTAATGCAACAAGTTAGAAGTTTCAAATACTATACAGAAGAAACTGATTGAATGCATTTTCCTCTTGCAGGCATCTGTAGTTCAATGTCGATAGCTGCATTAGAAGGGAGATTTGAGCATCAAGGATGAAGAATTCATAATAAATTCGAGTAATATGGATTATGCTATTCTGTGGTCGACCTGCAATTATAACGTGCCTTGTAAACGAGGTGTCAGCCTCGCATAAACTCAGTTCATAATGAGAGATGATGACTACCAAACGCCAATCCTGGAAGTGGAGCTAATCTGATGTGATAAAATCATTGATCATACCAAATTAGCAAAATTGCTGAAGATTGCAGTTTCTCAATAATAATTGCACTTGTGGACTGCTCCATAGGGCATGACAGGGGAGCACATGCTAATTATCTAGCCAATTGGTGATTGAACGGATGAAAGAGGTGGACAATACGATGACCGGACAATAGTTATGTTTCGTGGAGCAAGGGACGTGGTTGGAAACTTATGGGCCTAATGATAACTGCAGGGGATGTTTAATGTGATGTAAATTTTCAGTATAAGCATCATGCAGACCGAGAACAGGCTACAGATGCTAATTTCTTTGTAAGATAAGTCTGGTGCAATGGAGTTAATCATGATCAGTATATATTCATCTTCCTTTCCTGAAATTCCGAGCACCTTCCCTTATGCCAAAAAAAAAATAGTAAGGGACAGGGAAATGGTATAGTTTGTACTTTGTACTAATCTTTGACACTAGTGTGACTTTGTTCCCTCTAGTTTGGTTAATATTCGGATCTCCCTCTATTTGGGATTGAGGCGTATTCGTTTTTGTTTGTTGTAGTTATTGAGATCTCCGTCTAAACTTTTCCTTTGTGAGGATAATATGCACTGGTTGGATTTCCTGGCATCATCATAGCTACCAGAAACTATCTCATATCTTTGCTTCCAAGTTTCTTTAAAGTAGAGTAATATTTTGTGATCTCAAATTGTTAGAGGAGTTCCAATTTGTAATTTAACTTCGTAAAGATATTGTTTAGGGCTGGACTTAGCTGCAGTTACCTCTTGGTGTTGGAAGTATATTATGCTTATAGGAACTCCTTGATCCTGCTATACATCATTTCCTTTTTCTTTTCCAAATTTTTGTCCATAATTTTTTGCAACAACTGGCCAAGCTTATATATTAAGGGGTTTACCGATGGATTGCAGCACACATTTGTACCTCAGCAATGTTGACCTATGTTGGGTCTGTGCAGGAAATAAACAGTCATGTTTGTATAATCTACGTTTTGTATCACAAGGCTTAAAATAAGTGTGAGATTAATTCTCGCTCTCCCCCGTCCCCTTCCTTGATCCCAATGTTATAGAAATTCTGAAAAAAAATTCTGATTGTATTTGAGCACTCTTAGAAGTAAAACCCAGGCCCTTCTGATTGTGAATGATAAATCCTATAGTTTGCTTGTCTTTATGTTTTTCAACTGGTACTGTTTTTTGTTTAATTCCTTGTATTATATGCTTTTGCTGATTCATAGAGATCTCCAATTTGGAACAATAAGTCTCTAGAGTAACAAGCTGGCAGCTGCCAATAACTTTGGAATAAAAGGAAGAAAATCAGAAACATTGAATGTGATAAATAGTCTGCTAATCCCATCTCCTCCCTCAACAGGTGATAAAAATGAGTACTTATTGTAAGCGCTTGGATTTTAGTACTTCTATTTATTTTATTTATGTTTGTAACAGTTAGGAAGCTTTCAGTTGTCTCAATTTTGTATTGAGAAAAAGAAGCAGCATTCACACAAAAAGAGAGGCTTTCTCAACCATGGACCTAATATGCTCTACTATAAGGTACATACCAACATTCACCCTTTTCTCTCTTTTCAAATTTTTTTGGCTGATGAAACCTAAAAGTCAGTACCTAATTTGAATAACATGCAAAGCTTGTGAATGCAGGGTTATAGTCTATATAAGTGAAAGTTAGATTGGTGGCAGGTAGGTACTTCTACTTGCTACTGAGGATATAACAAAGACCTTGAAAGCTGCTTTTTCAAGTGTCAAGTAGCAGAACGCTTTGTCAATCGGGGAGATGGACATACACAACCTACCAAAGATAGTATTGATTGTGGTTTTCCTAGTGCTGCACCCAAGTGGATCAAGAAGCCAATGGGTGCCTCAGCCACCTATTGTCACTCGTCCGCTTTGTGCCTCTCAATTTGCACTTGTGAATCATGCATGTTCATTGCTTCCATACAATCCAGGGCCTCCACCATCTCCACCATCACCTCCTCCACCACCACCGTCACCTCCTTCTCCTCCAGAGAGAAGACACAGACACAAGCATGGACGACACCACGTTCATAAGGAAACTCCTGTAGAAGAAGAGTGCTGTAGGTGGATGAAACAAGTCGATAGTGAATGTGTCTGTGATCTGCTGGTTCGCTTGCCTCCTTTCCTTTCTAGGCCTGTACACCAGTATACTGTTGTGGTTGATTCATCTTGCAATGTTACTTTCGAGTGCGGTTCGAGGATAAAGTTTGAAACTCAAATGTTACCCCAGTTTCCCTGATGCCCCCCATCTCACAATAACCTTTCACAGGAATTATGGTATACTGGTGTTTGTTTATCTTTGTTAACTATAGCTTCTTGAAATTGAAAAAAAAAAAAGAAAGATAGATAAGTAATAGTGACCTATTTAGTTTTAATGCCGATGAAAGTCTTAATGTGTAGTTGAACTAAAGAAATAAAGTGATGTAGTATCTGTTTCCATCAATTATGTGCTAACCTTTTTTGCTCCTTGTAACTTCTATGTTTTTCTTCAAATATGTAAGGCTTAAAGCTTTTCTTGGTACTTCTTTGCTAACATTGAGAACAATGAACCCAGATTAAGAAAGCATTTATTGGTATTTTTACCTACCCTTTTTACGTGGAGGTAGAACTAGAATGGTTTTGTCGGTTTAACTTTAACTCATTATTAAGGAAATTAACACTAATACATTATACATATAATAAGATAACAATCATTCTAAAAAGCTGCCATTCTCTTTTATATATACAATACAATAAATAAAACATGAAAAGCCGCCATTCTCTTTGGCCTTACTACATCTGGCGACCAAATAAAGGGTAAAAATTAGCTTTTGCCAAGTCAACCAAATATATATATATTTTGACGTTTATAGGCTCTATTCTTTGAATAAATGATCAAATATCATATAGGCCAACATAGCCACTACTAACTTTGATGGGACTTGTGCTCTTTGTAAAGAAGTATTAGAAAAATTAAGAAGATGATTGTTAAGGCCTCAAATTAAACAGGAGCATATGAGATCGTGTAACTTCATTCACTATCCACAAATAGCACACATGAGGAATAAAGTAGAGTTTGACTAATAGAAGTATCATAGTATAGCCAAAAAAGAGACTTCGAATGGAATTACATGCTGATTATGATTGATTTGATTGACTTAAGTTTATTTCCAGATTATTTTTTTTCATTCAAGTACACCATTAAGAGTCCGGAACCAAAAGTGTGATTTTTTTTTATTCAAAGCATAAAAATAGGTGAAAAATCAACTGATGACCAATTTATATATAACGCATGGGGTGAATGCGTTATACCTTAATGACACGTTTGTCCCTTAAGGTATAGCGCATGCAATCCATGCGCTATATTTGAAATTCAAATGTCGGTCAAATTATAAGTATAGCGCATAATATGGGATGTGCTATACCTGAAGTTGAAAATATGCGCTATACCTATATAATAAATGGCCCGGCCTTCTTTCTCGACAGAACGCACAAATCGGTCTCCCCCCTCCCTCCCCCCCCCCTCCCCCAACCCATTTTTAAAGCATAAATTTTCATTGGAGTCCACCCGTCTCCCAAAAATCGTGTCCCCTTAGTATTTTAGCGAGGTAACACCGGATCCAAGGCGTTGTCATGTAGTGGATCTCTTCTGTTACTCGTTTCGGTGGTCAAATCATCAATTTTTCTCAATTCAAAAAACTCTAAAACGAGGTATTCCGATTCACTTTTTAGTAAAACTCATGTATATAAATTACCAATCAGTTGTTTTTACTGTGTTGTATGCTTTTTGTGATCGTTTTGTCATTTAAGTATTTTTTTATTTTTTATCCCAAAGTTTATTATGTGCTAAAAAATTATGAAAATTATATATTGTTATTTTGTGGAATAATTAGTGTTATATGTGACTTTATTGTTGTACATATAACAATATGTGGCTTTGTTGTTGTTCAGTTATGTTGTGCCTTTAATTGATATGTAGTGTCCTTTAGCGCAGTAAAACTGATAATAAATTTTAGTTTATGGTAGTTGACTTTGTTTATGACCATTTAGAGTAGTGTGACTTTAGTGCTCTTTAGGATTCTTTAGTCTAGAATAAAAATTATGTGCCCATATTAACTAACTCGGCTAGAGTACTCATTTATAGATTTAATGTATTAGTAGATAATTATCAAATTTAGATATGAATCGTAAAATAATTAGTTGACATTACAAAAGAGATGCTGCCGAAGTTTTGGGCAAAATATAAAAGTTAACAAATAAATCGTTATGAATGAAATAAATTTAATATTATTTATTATTAAGTTTGTAGTATTTTTAGATGAATAATCATTAAATATATCTTGATTAGTTATGAAAATTTAATTTAATTCTGTTATAACCCAAAAAATCTGAAAACATATGGCATTTCAAACAAAACACTGCAGAATTTTTGTCAAAAAATGTAAGAAACTAACATATAAAATATTAATATAGAAAATTTATCAACCTAAGTATTTGTTATATAAATAATTACTAAAATATTTTATTAGTTATGAAAATTAAATATTTAAATCTCTTATAACCCCAAAAATAACTGGAAAAAAAAAGATGATAGTTCAAACAAAATCGTACCAAATTTTAGTCAAAAAATGTAAGAAACTAACATATAAAACAATAATATAGAAAATTCATCAACCTAGGTATTTTTATATGACTAATTATTAAATATATCATGATTAATTATGAAAATTAATTATTTAATTCTCTTATAACCCAAAAATATCTGAAAAAAAGAAGATGATAATTCAAACAAAACCCTGCTGAATTCTAGTAAAAATGTAAGAAACTAACATATAAAATAATAATATAGAAAATGCATCAACCTAAGTAATAATATAGAAAATTTATCGATTAAATATTATTATAAAAAATATCGCAATAAATTTAAAGATGTTAAACGATTAGACAGAAAAATACTTTAATTAATATTGTTCAATTTACAGACATCGTCATGGAGCTTCCCCCTATGCATCCTGGACCTGCTGTTCGAGAGCTACTGTTGCTCCAGGGCAACCATAGGTCTTCACACATCTGGGATGGACAGTGTCTGTCACATACCTTCCACCCCAGACGTATAGACGATCTTTGGGAGTTCAATAGGGACCACCCACTACATCCCCGTAAAGTTAGACGCCTTCAGCAGATGGAGTTTTACCAGATTATAGAGATCGGCCGATTGCAGTTTGACTGGGCCCTGATCACGGCTATGATAGAGCGGTGGCGATCGGAGACGTACACGTTTCATCTACCCATCGGCGAGGCTACCATCACGCTAGAGGACGTGGAGGTTCAATTCGGGTTGCCCGTTGATGATTTCCCTATCAACTACCCGCATGCTCTTAGGGACTACATGGGAGATGACTAACTACATATGTTGCAGAGGTTGACAGGTTTCCAGCTTGCGGAGCCGACTGCTTTGAGTGGTGCCAGTCGATTGCAGCTGACGCCCGTTAGGCAACATTTGGTGGCGTTGCACGCGGAGATTATTGATGACTCACCACCAGAGGCTATCGACCGGCAGACGAGGTTGTTGTTGCTGATGATATTTGGTGGTATTCTGTTCCCGAATACTTCAAGAAACCTAGTTAGCTTGCGATTTCTACATCATCTGGAGAGGCTAGATGGGTTACCTAATTACAACTGGGGTGGAGCTGTTCTAGCCTACCTTTATAGGCAGCTGTGCCGGTCGTCCAAGGGCACCGTGAGAGACATTGCCGTTTTTATATTGCTGCTGCAGGTGGTAACATAATCAATTCTTTTCATGATTATAATATAGATAGTACGTCCACAATCAATATTAGGTTTGGGCCTTGGAGCGGTTCCTGCAATTCCAGCCACCCCTGCCACCGATAGCTCCAGATGCATCACCTCCACCATTTCTACCACTAGCTAGGAGGTGGGTAGATAGGCGAGGCCACGCCCGCGAGGTCGAGGCTCGATATCATCTCTGTTATTACATGGATTTGTTGGATTTACTTGAAGACGCTCAGGGACATATATACTCAAGTTTACTTGGCCTGGCTTGATATGTATTGCGTTTACTCACAGTTCTTGTGTTTAATATATAGTTCATATGGAGGCCATACAACGTCGAGCTCATAGTTGGATTGCAAGGTTATTGCTCTTGTGGTCGAGCTATGTGGATGTCTTCAGTCCCACTTATATGTCTCGATATAGTCGAGCATCATGCCATCGAGCGAGTCCTTCGACAGTTTGGTCAACGCCAGCTTGTACGTATTTCGCCCACTTGGCATCCCACACATTACCAGCGGGATGATCGCTGCAAGGTCGACCAGACATACTTCGCCTGGCTAGAGGCCCAGATAGAGGATTGGGATAAGAGGTATGGCCTGATTCCGACATACCCTCCACCTGACCATTTGGACGAGGAGCATGAGTACATGGGATGGTATCGCAGTGTTACTCACCTTCTGATCAGGCATCCCAGTTCTACCAGCTGGGACTGGAGATGCTACAATATGCAAGCGATGGAGCAGAACTTGTGCACGGACTTGGTCGTCGGGTCGCTGCAATACTGCAAAAATGTATGCCACTGTGCTCACTTCCTATATTTCTTTAATCGTTTCCTCGGCTGTGGTATAAATTCAACACCCATTTCCATCAATGACAATGCACCTCTGGATCTTTCAACAAACATCTCTGCCATCTGCTTGAATGACATCCGCACCATGGCAGTGATAGGCAATCCACGGGCAAACTTTAACAACCCATTGAAAGACTCTGACACGTTTGTAGTCAAAATTCCCCATCTTCTACCACCATCCTTGTGCAAAGTCCACTTGTCAAGCTCATGTCGCATCAACCAACGATAAGCTTCTGGGTCTTCCTGCCTAATCAAGTCCATTCGCCTTCTGAATTTACACTCTTGATGATCTGTTGCAACCATCCCTATTAAATTATGTAAGCTCTTATTCGGATGAGCCCTTTGGAAGTTGGCCTTCAAGTGCCTAACACACTAACGGTGGTAGGCATACGGTTCCTGCCATGTAACCAAATTCTGTACAGAACTTAGAATACCACCATGCCGATCAGATATTAGATAAATACCTGAACATTGTCTGACAACGTGCTTCTTCAAGTGGTTCATAAATAATGTCCAAGTCTCTTGGCTTTCATTGGCACAAATAACAAATGCGAGGGAAAATATGCTTCCATTAGCATCTACTGCAACGGCGATCAACAACTTAATATCATACTTTCCATATACATGAGTGTCGTCTATGGATATTGTCGGCCGATAATGCACAAAACCATCAATGGCTGGTTTAAATGCCCGGAATACATATCTGAATATGAATTCTTGTTTTCCCAGACTCCGCTCAAGCTTCTATTCAACAACAGTCCCGGGGTTAAAGTGTTGCAAAGCATCTATTTACCTGGGTAAAGCGGCAAAGGACTTATCCCAGTTACCATAAACAATCTCAAACACACGTTTACACCCAAGAAATGCCTTTCTTTTGGTAATGGTACAACCGTATACCTGGTGGATAGATGTTATACACTCTTTAATCTTGTACCTTATGGATTATTCAATGTGTGGAATCAAGACAAGAGAAATCAAGTCAACATTCAAGTTAAAATGATTCCTACTGAATGTGTCCATATCACAAGTGTGGGTGCCAATGTATTTTCCTATAATCTACATATTTGTTTTCAACTTTCTCGCACGCAACATCCATCTCAACCTTGAAACCATCTACGACAAATAACCTTGTATACTTTCAGAGATGACTCATGAACCTCGATCTCACGACACTATTTTATGTTGTACATTCGCACCGCCCAGCGTAGGCGCGCTTTATCAGCAAAAAGCATATTCTTTGACAGCACAATTGATCTAGATTCATCCCACATTGCTGTCCGAATATCATTAAGATCCCTTGTGAGGGCATCCACATCCGGCGTACTGGGCAACTAATCAAGGTAGGGAATCGCCCTTGAATGAATAGGCACATGTGACTCGTTCACTATGGATCTAACAGGAGGTGGAGTCTGCATATACGGAGCATGCTCATTGGTGGCATCATGCTCCCTTTGCAAATCAGGTTGCTCATTCTCATTCTCATCAGCAAAACGCGTTTCCTCATCATCATCGCCCTCATCAGGGAAGGGTGTGTTATCTCCACACTCATCAGCATTGTTGTCATAATCACTATCATCTTCCTAACTCTGTGCATCTGCCAGATCCTGATTAAATATACCGACTTCGGGCAATTGAGTAAGGACAGGACCTTCAAGGTGCTCGTTTTTACTGCACAACCAATAAAATAGTGAGTTTCTCAAATTCATCCCAACATTATATATAGATTTTATCTCTTAACTTACAACTCATAATCTGTTGATATCCCATGATGCACATTATCGAGTTGCTAATGATTTTCGGATGGACCACCATGATTCTCAAATTTTATCTCTTAGCGCATTCATTATAACCGCTATATATGTAGCGCAATAAATCTATGCGCTATACACACCAATTATTGTGGGCCAGTCAATTTCAAATATAATGCATGGGTTGGATGCGCTATACCTTAACGGACAAACATCCCGTTAAGGTACGGCGCATTCAACCCATGCGTTATACATAAATTGGTCATCAGTTGATTTTTTCACCTATTTTTGTGCTTCAAGTCAAAAAAGACCACACTTTGATTCCGGACTCCACCATTAACACGTCCTTAAGAAAATTACCATCCATATAGTGACTTAAAAGGAAAAAGAAAGAAAAGAGAAAAGGAGAACCTTGGGCATTCCTTCAATTTGCAATTTATTCAGAAATTAGTTTTAAAATAAGTTTTATGTACTGGTTGTGGTGTAAAAGTTATTTATACAGTTAGGTCATTAAATAATAATTGAAGGTAACTCTATATAAGAAATTCAGACCAATAATATAAAAATTATCTATACAACTAGTATAGAAGCAAGGGCGTAGTAACTGCGTGAAGTTGCGCCTTAGGACATCCGTTTTTTTGCTTGTTAATTCCCTTACCCCTATTATTTGTATTATAGTCATAAAGGAACTAAAAGAAATTTAACAACTTTACTAATAGAAAAGGGATACGCTCAAGCATGTGAAGGAAGCTCAAAGAGCTTCTCTTATGGAGTATTATAGAAGGTTTGTAGAAAGGAAATTCTTCAAATATCCCATGTTGTAGCTAGGGGATTCAAAGAAAAGATTGTAGTTTAGGGGAAGCCCCCCTAAACCCCTGAGATAACTCGATCTCGACGGGTCAATTTCCTGTCAGTGTTATCTCGTGCACGAAGGGTTGCTCATGCTTTCCAAACGTTACGCATTTTTTCGGTCATTACTTTGTATAGCTCTCTGGACAATGAAATAGGAGCGACTTCACATAATTTCTGACACGTCTAATTAGGGGTGTACATGGGTTGTGTTGGTTCGGTTTTTATCAAAATCAAACCAAACCAACTATATCAGTTTGGATTGGTTCGGTTTTGTTAGATTTTTCAGGTTTTTTCGGATTTTTTTGTTACACAATACATGTTTATTAAACATTAAAAAAATTGACAAACATATGATCTATCAAAATATTCTTATGGGAGAATTTGTTTAGTAATACGTGATAGTTATTTTCTTAGTTGTCTAACAATAATTTTTTGTTAATGTACGCTTTCAAGGTTGATCGAATTTAATAAAATATAAAAATAAAGATGATACCTAAATTATGATATATTGTATTTAATGTCAAATTATCGAAATACCATTCAAATTCGAAAAAGATACAAGAAATCTTGACATATGAATATGGAAGAACAAAGAGATGAATGACGCATTTCAGTAACACTTGATAAGAAAGTGATACAACCCATTATTTATAGTAAATAAAGATGAATGCACTTTATAGTTCTATTAAATATTACATCTCATGGGAAGATCTCAAATATTTCTATATTTTTTTGAAGAAAATTCAATAATAAAGTCTTAAAAGTATATATAAAAATTATATATTTGTATGCCGGTTTGGTTCGAATTTTTTTACTCAATACCAAACCAAATCAAACCAAACTTAGTCGGGTTTTTTAATCGATTTGGTTGACTTTTCGGTTTGATGCGATTTTCTGGTTCGATTTAAACACCCCTACGTCTAATATATATATCAAATCCATTTGAAAATACTTAGATCCAACGGATGATTGTCATGAAGTCCTTCGATTCGAGTTCCACTCTTTTAAGTTTATTCTCAAAACAGAAAGAGCCCTAAAGCTAGTTGCTGTTTTAGGTCCATTCCTATTAAGTACAACATTTTGTTTATTTCTGTCATTTTCTTAATTCTATTACATAACGGAAGAGATACAAGGGTAATGAGTGAACAGTGATAATCGAACCTACATTTATTGTGTACCAATATCATTTACCGTCAAAATATTCATGTATTCTGGCAGTGTTAGGGTTTACACCACTTTAACTTCTAATATGTTTCCTTATTCCAGTCTAACACGTTAAAAAATTCCCTAGCCCTGAATGTTACAATTCAACATGCAGATACTAGAAGCATTGCTTGTAATTTTTCTGATGATAATTAATTAATTTACGTAATATATATTTAATGTGGTGCAACTAATATTATGTTATGATGTCCAGTCACAGAAAAAGAGAGATCTTTTCCTTTTGTTCTTGATACTAGCGATCTCATCCAACTAATTAAATTCGATGGATCTTATCCTTTTGATATAACTAGTTGAAAATGAAAGCTACCTCATATATATGTG